TAATTGAGAGCCGAATAACATTTGCAGACACAACAAGTTTTTATTATGTTTGATTAACAACGAGAGCTGGTGTGTATATCAATCGAATTGATTCTTTTTTTTAACGATTAAATTGTCATAAAAAAACAGGTTTTCAGTTTCAAGTTGGAATCTGCGTCACAAAATGTGTTTATAATGCACATGGCATCAATCATAAGAATATAAATCCAACTTGCGTCTGGGCACTTGATTAAAATAGATCTGTTACAGCACAAGTTCTGTCGAAATCCCTAGAGAAATGTAGGAGGATATGCCAGTGTGAAAACAAGGAATTGATTACAGTGGTCCTCATGTCAGTTTTGTCAACATTCACCAATCTGGTACCAAGAATTTTATTCTTTGGAAAGCCTTGTTAATAACAGTATCCAAGGACACAAAGTTACACATGACTGGAAAGCTTTGTATTATATTTGTTGTATTTTTTCTTGACATTCAGGTCTCCATGGTGATAGAATTAGTACTGTTGCTATGTCAATCTTGCAATTTAACTTCGAAAATATTCCAAATTTTACAGTCCATTTTATCAAATTTTCATGCTTTTTATTGCTGTTTTCAAAATAAGCCAAGGCTTTTTTTCTCTTTTGAAAACTTATTACATGTATTATAGCCACAAATTTGGCTACTAGATCCATAACCGATACTGGAATTTTGAATTAACCACAATATCATGATCAAATATATTCATTTATTGGGCTTTAAATCTTCTCAGGCAGCTACATATCCTACCCTTGGGATCAGTGCAGGTCAAGATCAGCTGGCACATATGTGCTATCTGATCATGGTCTGCAGTTACTGGATCATAGTCAGTCCATTTTTAGCTCGACTATTCGAAGAATATGAGAGCTATTGTAGTCGCCCCGGCGTCGGCGTCGGCGTCAGCGTCCGCGTCGGCGTCTGCGTTGGTTAAAGTTTTTTGTAAAGTCAATGTCTCAATCATTACTTGAGATATTCAATTGAAACTTACAATACTTATTTATAGTAACAAGGTACATCATATTGACAAGTTCGATAACTCTGCCTACAATATTGAAAGAATTATGCCCCTTTTTAACTTAGAAATTTTGGTTAAAGTTTTTTGTAAAGTCAAATATCTCAATAATTACTTGAGATATTCAATTGAAACTGACAATACTTATTTATAGTAACAAGGTACATCAGATTGACAAGTTAGATAACTCTGCCTACAATATTGACAGAATTATGCCCCTTTTTAACTTAGAAATTTTGGTTAAAGTTTTTTGTAAAGTCAAATATCTCAATAATTACTTGAGATATTCAATTGAAACTTACAATACTTATTTATAGTAACAAGGTACATCAGATTGACAAGTAAGGTAACTCTGCCTACAATATTGACAGAATTATGCCCCTTTTTAATTTAGAAATTTTGGTTAAAGTTTTTTGTATAGTCAAATATCTCAATTATTGCTTGAGATATTCAATTGAAACTTACAATACTTATTTATAGTAACAAGGTATATCAGATTGACAAGTTGGATAACTCTGCCTACAATATTGACAGAATTATGCCCCTTTGGAACTTAGAAATTTTGGTTAAAGTTTTTTTGTAAAGTCAAATATCTCAATTATTGCTTGAGATATTCAAATGAAATTTATAATACTTTTTTATAGTAACAATGTACATCAGTTTGCAAAATTGCATAACTCTGCCTGCAAAATTTGAAGAATTATTTGCCCCTTTGAAACTTAGAAATTTTGGTTAAAGGTTAAAGGTCTTCAAAGATATTTACTTGAAACTTTACACATGCACTTAGGGTCATAATTGGAGGGTCATAATTGTATGTCACTGACCAAGTTCCATAACTCTATCTTGCATTAAGGCTGATTCATATCCCCTTTTCTACTTAGTCTCTTGGTTAATGTTTTACATGCAAGTTTTTACATATCTCAATAACTATTAAAGATATTTATTTAAAACTTCACATATGCATTTAGGGTCATAATTGTAGGTCACTGACAAAGATCCATAATTCTGTCTTGCATTTAGGCTGATTTTTCTCCCCTTTTTCAACTTAGAAATTCATGGTAAAGTTTTGCTTGTAAGCTGTTATCTCAATTACTACTGAAGGGTTTGTGCCCTTTTTGGGGACAATTTTATGCATTCATAATAATAAAGCAGTGATTTACTTGATAAAACATCTTAATTAGAAGCCTATGTACCTTTTCTGTCAAATTTATGTATTCATAGGTAATTAGTATTATTATACTCCATAAAACAACCTTGTGACATTACCTTCCGAATAGTCAAGCCAATACTGTATAATTAGACTCTCTCTAAGGCCTATAACATGAATTTATTAAAAAAAAATTAGACTTTTTGTGATGTTAAAAAATTTAACATTATCAAGGCTCTTTTACTATCAAGCACTTAGAATAGTCGAGCGTGCTGTCCTACTGACAGCTCTTGTTTTTTCTAAAGTTTCTTTCAAATGACAGACGGTTTTGTTCACATTGTAAGATGTCCGACAAGTCAATTTAATATAATTTTAAAGCATGGTAAGGACTTCAGGGGAAGTAAAGACAATGATAATTCTTTTTTTATTTCGTACAAAACCATCACAAAATATTCAGAGAATAACTTGATACTGACTATTCAAGTCCTTGATGTTATAGCATGAAAATGTCAAGTGCAGCAATACAGAAAATCACAGAGTTCACCTCAATAAAATATACTCACAACTGACATTATGCTTATTTGCCTGAAATCGGAGCAAAGTCTGCAAAGCAAAATGCCAATTACTATTGGCATTTTAACTGTCCCTGCAATTTTGATTTGAATTATACAATCTAATAATGAGAACTTTAAACATGTCTTCGAGAGATGGAAATGTGTGAAATAAAATATTAGATTTCACATTCCAATAATCTTGAATGCTACCAAATGCAAAGACCACGCTTTCGTGATTTTAGATAAGCCATATCTGAATGTCGCACATCACAGGGAAAGCACGGGTCACGATTATGTAAAGTAACGATAGGAAATTAATAATTAATCACATGTAAAACTTACATTCACTATCAACATTGAAGTTTATAGTCTGTAAGACACAACATAAAATCTGCATTTACTATTACATGCCTCAAAAGGTCCAAGGACGACTAAGGCAAAACATAATATACCTGGTGTAACAAGCTATCTTATCCCTGATATTCTTAAATGGACTTTTCCAGCTTCTATTTTTGGAATTGTCCATTATCAAATAAGGGATTTTAAGAAGAATGAATTCCAAACTTCTGTTTTTAAATGTCTTTCTCTGTACAGCTGTTAATTACTATATAATCTTAGCCAGTTTTACTGGTGTTTTTTAATACTGAATATTTGTACTTTAACTAACAGCTTTCTTCACAAGTATTATGCATAAAATTGATCCTATGATCATTACACCAAACTCTTAGTAAAAGACGTTTTGATGTCGTCACTTTTGACGTCATGTGACATTGACATAATTTTCCTGTATAATATTTATCTATGTACCCTGAAGCAGACTGTTCAGCCAAAACGTTGGTATATTAAGGGGAATTTCAAATTTGATTTAGTTGACTACTTGTTCTTTACTATTTATAGATTTTAAGATGAAAATTTGAAGTTTAAGATGAGTTAAATTAGCCAACTGAATAGAGCCTGGTCAGAATTCACAGACGTGCAGGAGGGTTTCTTAACCAGTAACACTGAAAAGTTAGTACTTAATGGTTTGTTTTTAGTTTTGTTTCATTTTTTTCACTGATACATCTTTAAAAAAGTAACGGCTGCCCTGGTATGACCTAAAACCCAACACAACAAAAATAATTATGCTGTATTTCCATATCAAAAGGAAAAATAATCCCTCGGCAAGCCAAGACTTTATACAGTTACTCGCAGCCAAAAAAATTAGACACTTGAATAAATATTTGTCATGGCCTAATATTTTATCTTAGAAAATATTGGAAAACACAACTTACATTAATTTAAGATATACTGTGTTCATCCTTATGTAAAATACTTTTACTGCAGATATTTATTTAAATCTTTGAAATTCTTACTGAATTAAAGGGAATTGTAAGAATTTGCAGTTGACAACTTATTTTTTACTATCTATTTTTACTGAACACAAATGTCTAATTTGGATAAGTGATTATGCACAAAAATAAACCATGTTAGGAAAGTTACCTTTAATTCCTATTATAAACTGATCAATTTAATTTGGTCTTTTATCAAAAAAGTGTTATTGACTAATATGTATTTATACTGTATTTACATATAGTGTGAAGTGTTTAAAACAGAACATATCCTCTCTGTGTGTACTTATTTGTTTTACATTTAAAAAGGAACTATATAGAAGTTATCAACACGTTCAAATATCAATTGCGATATGCGCATCTCCTCATGTCAATTTGTTTCCTCACTACTTCTCTGCAACTACTGGCTGTAATTCAATGAAACTTTATTGGAACCTTCAATACCAAGAGGAGATGCGCATATTGTAGCCTTGTTAGGGTCAGGCATTTTAACTTAGAGTTATGACCCTTGATAACTTAATGCAGTATACAACCAGAGCAATAATCGTTTCCATGCTACTTTTCTGTAACTACTGGCTGGAATTCAATAAAACTATATGGGATACTAAGAGGAGATGTGCATATAGTCGCCTTGTTCCGGTCAGATACTTATAACTCAGATTTATGGCCCTTTATTAGTTATGTAGTATGCATACATCTCATTGGCATTTCCAGATATTACTATTTAACACAAAGTTATGGCTCTGTTATTGCCCTGAATATTTATCAAGATCAAAGAATATTACTGTTTATGCCATGATTAATATAGAAATAAAGCCTTATGTCTTCAGTTGTTGTGTTAATAATAACCAGTACTCGGCGGGGGATATAAATTCAACGAATTTGCTTGTTATGTTTTACAAGGACATTAAAAAATTTTGTTTTTTCAATACCAATTATAATGAATATTTATTATATTTTCAGGACATTATGCAGGTATTAGAGAAAGAAAGAGAAAGGAGATGGAAAGCTGAAGCTGCAGCCAAACGTCTTGTTGAACACATTCAGTCACTGACAAATAAAGGTTTGATAGTTTCTTAAAATGTTTCACTATCTGTAGAAAGGGTAATCCCTCAGAATCATTAATCTACACAAAATTACATGAAAATTTGCAGATTCCTTAACTCTTACCCAGCTAGTGTCAACTAATTATATCTTATCTGCCAAGTGCAGACCAAGATCGGCCAGCCGCCTATAAAATCATGGTCTGTACTGTTGGCTTAATTCAGTAGGAACATATTTTGCAATTTTTCCCTGAAAATGATAAACCAGGTTCTGTTCAAATGCAATGACAGATGAGTTAAAATGGTTTCCTGCGGGGAACATTTTTATAATTTAAAGATTTTTCATTTAACTCTTTTCAAAATTGTTCTTAAAAAAAACCTGGAGTGAGTCCCATAATTTAAATGATGAATATACTCTCGCTAAACAATATGGATAAAGATATTTACAGATTTATTTACAGTGTATGTAATTGTCTGTGTGATAAATTGCAAACTGATTTCTTATATAATGATTAAGTATTTTTTTCTGGATTGGCAGATTTATTTCAATATCAATTCATGGAAACCAGATTGATGATGAAAAGAATTTTGAAAGAATTCTGTTTTATTCACCTGACATTCTCTAAATTAATTCTTAAATAGAGGATATTGAATGAGTGTAAGTTTTTAAATACTGAATTTATTGAACAAGTTGAATGAAATTATATTATGTGAGCCTCTGGCAAGCATAATATTATTTTATTCAACTTTTTCAATAAATTCAGTAATGAACTTACACAAATTTAATATTCTATTTATCACATACCAAAAATAAAGACCATTTGAAGTGAAAAGAACCATTTTTCATTGTCGCGCCAACAGTATAACTCTAACATTTAGCATGTCGTGACACTATGTTAATATAATGCTGATGACATCATGACATAATATATGCATGACCGTGCAATATCATTTTTATGAAGTCGCGAAATCGGCACGGATATGTGATAAATTATTTTACGGTTTGTTATTTCTTTAGTAGAAAAAAAATCATGTTTATTTCTTTTACACTTCATCTGCCTTTAAATACTATTAATTACACAGTTTACCCTACTGAGAAATTAACTGGGAATCCCACTGGGTGGGATCCCAGTGGAATTTTAATTGGGATCTCAGTGGTACCCACTGGGAAAATTGGTTGGGATCCCACTTGGATCCCACCCTTATCCCCAAATTTCCCAGTGGGATCTGATCCTCATCCCAGTGGGATTCGATCCTCATCCCAGTGGGATCCCAGTCTGATTTTTTGTAAGGTATTCATTATTTCTACAAGTAAATGATCATTAATCGCAATTCCTCCACCTTTTTTTGTCAAACTTTGGATAACTTAATAATAGGTGAGGTGTAATTAGAACCTGTGTCAGCATTTTGAATATTTTTTTTTGTATTGCATTTTTTTCTTATTAATTTAAAATGAAGGAAAATTTTCTAAGATAAGTGCTTTAGGAATTAACCCAGTTTCGGAATTTATTGACTTTCAAAGTGCATGCTGTAAAAAAAAGCTTGATAAGTTATTAAGCGATATATATGGGCAGGTCAATGGCACTCAGAATTCCGGTTCACATATGTGATTATTACTGGTGAAACATTTGTAATTGAATAAGAGAAATTATCTGATTGATTTTCTGTCATTTTTCATCGGCTAGTTATAACTAATCATATATATTATAATGGTAATTAATTTCCTGTTTTTTTTAGCAAAAGATGAAGGGGATATGAAAGATTTGGCAATAGATGCTACATCTAGATTGAAACAGGCCGTAATGAATGAGCGGGAAATTAAACTTAACTTGCAGAATGAGAACGATAGACTAAAGGTATGATTTTTGCATGTGGTCCACTTCCTATTTTTGATTAAATGTATTGCAGTGCATGATTGTGCTTTTTGTGATAATTTTTTTTCCTGATTTTTATGCCACCGCAGCATCTGCATATAGTGATTCACCTTTGTGTGTGTTTGTGTGTTATACAGATTAAATAGTGAACTTAAAAAATCTTCTCCTTAAAAACCGCTTGTTTTAAATTTCAACCAATCTTGCCAGGATTTTTCCATGGGTGAAGGGCATGCAAAGTTGTTGAAAATCAATGTACCTGAATAAGTATTGATGTAATATTATCAAATTAATAGATCCCTACTGTTGACCTTTTATTTGAATAACAATAATATTTTTTTAACCACAAACATTGATATGTCTGTGTTCTTTTGTTAATTAATATTTTGTGGTGAACCTGATATTAAGCTAAATTGCACCTTATTTGTTTCTGTACTTATTTTCAGCGGGTTGCATTTTTAGTAGTTATGTCACATGTATAATGATTATGTCACATGTCTAAATATAGAATGTCAACAGTGATTTTGTTGATTAATAACACACACTTTTGTCCTTCTACGTTCAATATGGAAAAGATGCAGGTTCTTTCAGGTTTTCTCATATTATATATGTACATAAAAGCGAGGGGATCCAACTCAAGACAGTGATTTAACCCTCATTCTGCTGAATTTCCTTAATGGACTTGTCCAGCTTCCACATTTGGATCTATCCATTATCAATTTTAGGGATATTAAGATGAAAACTAGAAGTTTTGTCAGCTTACAGCACAATACAGAGGTTAATCAGTTTCAGTTCCAAGAGTCAAACAGTTACATGTAAATTAAGTTTCAAAATTTGTTCTCATACCAGCTAAAATAATAGGTTTACACTTAAATAAAGCCTTCTTTGTTCATAAATAGCCCGATTCTGTCCTACTACATTACTTTTTTGTGTGACATTACTTTTTTGTGTGTGACACAAGACCATTAGCAAAATGGTTGTAGACACTGATTTTACTGAGATTGCTGCCAGACATTTGTGCTGAAATTATACACCTTATTATACTTCCCTACTGATTTGCAGTCAATTTTCCTGCATTTGCTTGTAGACAGGAAAAATTACCCTGTTATTACTGCATGTTGACAAGTCAATTACACTTTTTCTAGCCTATAGTTTGCATGCCGACAAGGAAACTGAATTAACAATTTTTTTGTGGCGTAAACATGTTAAATGAACATTTAGCTTCAATGCTCACTTGAGCATAAAGTGCAAAGAGATGAGCTTCAGTGATGGATTGAATGTAGGTGGCTATAATGTGACCTATTGTTCTAGCATAATATAGTTATTTTGGTGTTTCTGTGGGCATAATTGAAATGAGCTTCTTTGATGGACGTCCATCATTATTCGTCCGTGACAATGAAAGCTGTTGTTCTAGCATAATATGGTTAATGTTGTGTATCTAGGGGCACAATTGAGATATTACCTTCTTTAATGACTGGTGTTATTCATTATATGTCCGTGAGAACAACATTACCTGTTGTACTTGTGTTATATGGTTTTATTGTCAGTGGTAACAACATATCATTGTTGTTCTTGTGTTATATTGTTGATGGCTACAACATAATCTGTTGTTCTTGTGTTATATGGTTATATTGTTGGTGGCTACAACATAACCTGTTGTTCTTGTGTTATATGATTAGTGTTGGTGGCTACAACATAACCTGTTGTTCTTGTGTTATATGGTTATTGTTGGTGGCTACAACATAACCTGTTGTTATTGTGCTAAATCATTATATTGTCAGTGGTACTATGTAACCTGTTGTTCTTGTGTTATATGATTATATTTTTGATGGCTACAACATAACATGTTGTTGTTGTGTTATATGGTTATTGTTGGTGGCTACAACATAACGTGTTATTCTTGTGTTATATGGTTATATTGTTGGTGGCTACAACATAACCTGTTATTCTTGTGTTATATGGTTATTGTAGGTGGCTACAATATAACATGTTGTTCTTGTAATATATGGTTATTGTTGGTGGCTGCCACATAACATGTTGTTCTTGTTTTATATTGTTATTGTCATGTTTCTTGGGGGCAAAATTGACATTGCTTTTAAGGTCACTGGATTTACATTGATTTTTGTAAATTTTTTTGTCTGAGATTATAAAATGATGACAACTATAGGGTAAAGTTAAATGCTATATATAAGAATGTAGTTTTAGTGGCCCGGCAGTATATATTTATTGGTAGAGCTGTAGACTGAGACAGACTAAGAATATGTTGATTTGTATCTCTCACATTTAGCTTTAAAGCTTAGATGATCAAGGTAGTTTACATAAGGTTGTAGTTCTACAAAAGCACTATGAAATAGTGTATGAGGGGGTGCCTCACTGAGTTCTTCCTTCACCAGTTAATCTCGAAAGTCCCTATCATTGTGTGACCTTAACAATTGTTGTTATGACTTTAACTCTGAATTTATAAATATATTAGATTCATATTTAACATATTTGAACACCATCTGACACAAGCCATGAAAGGGTAGAAAATTTAGATGATCAATACTATGGCCATAAAAATACAAAAGAAAAAAAAATGTGAGATGACAAAAATGCCATAAAATATGTCTCTGGAATAGGACTTAGACTTTTTTATCATACCAAACTATTATACCTACAAAGTAAGTAATTTTATAATAATTCAGAAACCTTTTGTTAAACAAATAAAATAGTCAAAAGTCCCTAGAGAAAGCAAAATAAGTTTCTCATATATAATTATAGGAAGAAAACACCAAACTTTGCCTCAGAAAACAAGAAACTACAAAAGAACACTGAAAACAAACAAGTCATTTGTTAACATAAAATAAAAGTATAAATTAATAAACAAACACCCTTGACCTAATGGGAGAACTACCAGCACACAGCCAACATTTCTTCATTACCCGGCTGTGCTATTAGCACCAACAAATGTCAGTTATTACCTCATATACAGAGTAAAATTTCGTTTTCTACATTGTATAACATTTTATTCTTTCCTCTTTCTTATGAGACAAAAATGTCCCAAAGAAAACCACAAAATGTCATCATTATTTTTTTGTGATAAGGTCAATAGTCGCCAGGGCACTGATCTCTTTCAGCAAACACTTACAGCTCTTAACAATACCTTTTACTGAGTGAACACAACACTTACATGACACTAATGCGAGAAAGTGCTAAGACAAAAATGACCTAAATTGCTTTATCTAAAGGTGTGCCCAGACATCTTAATGTTGACAAAATAAATGTAAGACAATATAACAGTTGACAATACAAGTGTCTGAGATAAAAAAACTCTGATTCATGGAGTCAAAAAATCCAAATATATTCCGCAAAACTTCACTGTTTTTGAGGCTAATGTGGTGGTGGCGTTGGTAGTTTTCACTCAGGATCACGGCAGTAAACCACAATGAATTCACTAGTACATAGTTCACCCACCACATAATTCCTGGGCAGGCTGTCAAGCACTTTACCAGTACCAGTTGCCTGCATTTTCACAAGGAACTGAAACTTCTGTACATGCCACACAGCAGTCTCGAGGTACAGTTCGAATGACTGTAGAAAGATTTCATGATCAAACACAACAAAAGTGACCTGCACCGTCCGGGAACAGAACTCAAGTTGCCCGATTCACAGCCAAACGCTCTACCTATTGAGCTAACAGGACATACTTTTTTGAGGCTACTTTGACAGAACCTGAAATTTAATCACTCGATTGCCAGAAAAATTCATTACCTGTAGCTAACAAAAAATGGATTTTTCTTTACCATCACATTCTACTACTCTATATTACGAATCTTAACTATGCTAAATTTAGACTTTTAATTTTAACTTGTTCTCTTTTGAACCTCAACATGCTGTCCCTTTATATGATTGATATCATGATATATGAAACTGCTAAAATTATGAAGCCAATGATTACCACACAAAAACATATTAAATGGACTTTTCCAGCTGATAATCCTAACACAAAACCATTTCTCAATCTTTGAAGAAAATTTCAAAAGTCTGTATTGCTCTGCATTGGTCACATGGGTAAAATAAAAAGCCTGCCAGCTCACTCATTAATGATGTAAGACTGCACAGATTTTCATGCCCAGGTCCTTCTCTTTACTTGCCAAGTCCATAAATTTTTAGAAGACACTTTCAGTTAATGAACACAAGAGGGCCAAAATTGTTCAGTGTTTGGTTTTCTCCAGTTCTTTATGCCGGTCATATCTCTAAGATTGATTCCTCCATACCAGCTTTCTTGGATAACTAACCAAAAATTACCAATTTTTTCCCTGCTTGTTAATGTCTACCTATCCCACATGATCACTGATAAGCAGTGATAGACAAAATACCATAATGGTATATAATTATGCGGCCATAAGTCAATCTCACCCATACTTCGAGGGATATAATTATTATGACTTAAAAAATTGGTATTTTGCCTTGACTCTTTCATAAATGATATCAATGATCATATAGTAATGGCACTTAATCACTGGCTCTTTCAAGAGAGAAAACAAGATCTTTAGAGAAAATCTGGAATAATATTTTCAGGTTAAATAATGAATGACGTCCCTCTGCATGAGATGATTATAGAAGTAATCAGTAAACACTGTTTCATATCTTTTTATGCATCTTACATCATTTCAGGATAACTTTCCTCTGTAAAAACTGTCAAAGAATACAATTAAAGTAAATCATTAATCTTGGCAAAAACCTCTCTGCGCTAAGACCCCTACTGTTAAAGTAGAATGGTTTACTGGCCAATAATAGGGCAGTAATCTGTCTGGCTGTCTGGACGTCTGGCCGTCCGTCAGTTTTTCCTTGTCCGCCCAATAACTTAAGATTCCTTTGACCCACAGTCTTCATATTTGGCATGCAGGTTAGTCATGACAAGTAGATGACCCCCATTGATTTTGAGGTCACTGGGTCAAAGGTCAAGGTCACAGGGGCCTTGACTATAAAAAGCTTGTCCGCCCAATAACTTAAGATTCCTTTGACCCATAGTCTTCATATTTGGCATGGATGTTGATCATGACCATAAGGTGACCCCTATTGATTTTGAGGTCACTGGGTAAAAGGTGAAGGTCACAGAGGCCTTGAATATAAAAAGCTTGTCCGCCTAATAACTTAAGACTCCTTTGACACACAGTCTTCATATTTGGCATTGAGGCTAGTCATGATAAGTAGATGACCCCTATTGATTTTGAGGTCACTGGGTCAAAGGTCAAGAACACAGGGGCCTTGACTATAAAAAGCTTGTCCTCCCAATAACTTAAGATTCCTTTGACCCACAGTCTTCATATTTGGCATTGAGGCTAGTCATGACAAGTAGATGACCCCTATTGATTTTGAGGTCACTTGGTCAAAGGTCAATGTCACAGGGGCCTTGACTATAAAAAGCTTGTCAACCCAATAACTTAAGATTCCTTTGTTCCACAGTCTTCATATTTGGCATGGAGGTAAGTCATGACAAGTAGATGACCCCTATTGATTTTGAGGTCACTGAGTCAAAGGTCAAGGTCACAGGGGCCTTGACTATAAAAAGCTTGTCCGCCCAAAAACTTAGGATTCCTTTGACCTACAGTCTTCATATTTGGCAGGCAGGTTATTCATGACAAGTAGATGACCCCTATTGATTTTGATGTCACTGAGTCAAAGGTCAAGGTCACAGGGGCTTGACTATAAAAAGCTTGTCCTCCCAATAACTTAAGATTCCTTTGACCCACAGTTTTCATATTTGGCATGGAGGTTAGTCATGACAAGTAGATGACCCCTTTTTATTTGGAAGTCACTGGGTCAAAGGTCAAGGTCACAGGGGCCTTGACTTATAAAAAGCTTGTCCGCCCAATAACTTAAGATTTCTTTGACCCATAGTCTTCATATTTGGCATGCAGGTTAGTCATGACAAGTAGATGACCCCTATTGATTTTGAGGTCACTGGGGGTCAAAGGTCAAGGTCACAGGGGCCTTGACTATAAAAAGCTTGTCCGCCCAATAACTTAAGATTCTTTGACCCACATTCTTCATATTTGGCATGGAGGTTGGTCATGACAAGAAGATGACCCCTATTGATTTTGAGGTCACTGGGTCAAAGGTCAAGGTCACAGGGGCCTTGACTATAGGAGCTTGTCCGCCCAATAACTTAAGATTCCTTTGACCCACAGTCTTAATATTTGGCAAGAAGGTTGGTCATGACAAGAAGATGACCCCCAATGATTTTTAGGTCACTGGGTCAAAGGTCAAGGTCACAGGGGCCTTGACTATAAAAAGCTTGTCCTCCCAATAACTTAAGATTCCTTTGACCCACAGTCTTCATATTTGGCATGGAGGTTAGTCATGACAAGTAAATGACCCCTATTGATTTTGAGGTCACTGGGTCAAATGTCAAGGTCACAAGGGCCTTGACTATAAAAAGCTTCGGCCAATAACTTAAGGATTCCTTTGACCCACAGTCTTCATATTTGGCATGGAGGTTGATCATGTCCATAAGGTGACCCCTATTGATTTTAAGGTCACTGTGTCAAAGGTAAAGGTCACAGGGACCTTGACTTAAAAAATGTTTTTTTTCCCGTCAATTGCTTAAGAATGCCTGTCAGCAGTGTATTGATTTTGACATTTTCACATTTGAAGCATGTAGAATACATTACTTAGCAATGCAATCGCTTAGTAACCTCAGATTTGGCAGGGAGGTTGTCCTTGAGCTCTAAATGGCCACTGTTGATTCTTACAAAGTGGTATGCGGGGGTATTCACGCCATGACAGTGGCAGTTCTAGTTTATTATGCCTGTCTTTAGTACAAAAAACTCTAACAGTTTTCTTAACTGCATAATCTGCATAATCCCAATGATTTTATTATGCTCTCCGAAAGCATATAGTCGTCAGGTTGTCCATCCGTCCGTCGGTTTGTCTGTACATACTTACGTACATACTCTGGTATGTACGTCCCGGAGTTCGTGTCCGGCCCATATCTTCATTATTTGAAGTCGGATTTTACAATTATATCACAGAAATGATCACCATATTGAGACGATGTGTCGCGTACAATATTTGGGTTGTTTTTACTCTTTGAACTTTGTCTGTGACATAACTCTGACACTAAAAGAGGTATACCTTCCTGTGTCCAAAACCTATTCGGGGAGCATCACCTGGTCCAACCAGCTCTTGTAGTAATACTTGTAAGCATTTTCAAGGACTTTTTATCAAACCTTATGTGACATGCAACAGTTCTTTCCTTATCACGTACACCTTCATTTATTGACAGATATGGTTATTTATACCTTCCAAACAACCCTATATTTGGATTGTCTATGGAATGAATCAAGACCAAGGTCACTGGCAAGGCCAACTAAGGTCACTGAGGTTAAAAATAGATTTTCATTTTTTTCTTTGTACTTGCTCAGTGCTACAAGTAATGGGCCATGTAACTGGCATCCAGCATCCACTGGTGCTACCAATATTCTTGTTTGAAATGTTTAATTGAAATACCTTTTGATAAATATTTTAAAATTTTGAATGGCAAGTAAAATTTCAGGTCACCAGGATACAGATATAGATATTTTGATGTATTTTAGAAAGTTGTTGTGTAATGTTTCCAGGAACAGCTTCAGGAGGCTGTAGAACATTTATCCAAGAGCAGACGTATCCAAGAGGAGCAGACTAAAGCCATCAGACAAATGGAGGAAATGGCATCCAAAGAGGAAAGAGAAAAAATGAAGCAACAGACACATGATGTAAGCATTTGTAATTTAATAAAAATATATTGTTGTAACATTTTGTAACAGATATCTTATATAATTTGTATTCATATTCTTATATTTATATAGCAGGTATTTATTTCTGTGATTCCTGAAGCTTGAGGCTGGGTATAAAAAAGAGGTATCAATTTGCAATCTGTCTGAAAACCGGCCTTTAGGTTATATATGCAAATGAAGTGTAAAATGCTGACTTGCTTTTATTTTATAATAATTTATTATACCTTCTCTGTAAAATTGTTTATATACTGAAACACTAAATTAAATTGTCTGAACTTGTAACATTCTAGTTGTAAGGTTTCCTTTTTGACTGTAGAATGATTAGGAAAAATAAATTCTTGCTGTATAAGGTTTCCATTTTGAATGTACTTGTAGAATGAATCAGAAAAAGTTGTAAAGTTTCCTAATTTTGTTGTAAGGTATCCTTTATGGCTGTAGAATAAATAGGAAAAATATTTTCCAGTTTCCTTTTTGACTACAGAATGAATAGGAAAATATGTTCCAGTCAATTATGGTTTCAATTTTGACTGTTGTGGGTTGTCTTTTATAATTATTTATAAACAAGATGTTTTAGTGTGAACATTACTCGTTGAATATCTGAAAGGAGATATTTTCGTGACAATTTTGACACAATATCAAATAAATATCAAATCAAATATAAATACAGCCATGACAATTTGATTTAGAATTGCAGTTAAAGCATGATGGGTAGTTATCATTTCACTCCTGTAGAATACATTTATATAGAAAAATTATGTTTGTTTTCTAAATCCTAGTATGCAATTTTGCTCTATTTTTAGCATAAAAAGCTGCAAGAAGCACTGATGCGTGGTGCAGCACTTAGCAGAGAGGTTGACTTACTAAAGAGCTCTTGTGACAGCCAGAAAACACAGATTAATTCTCTCCAAAGTCTCCTGGCCTCAAGAGAACAAGAACATAGGTTTGTATAGTTATGTTTATTGTACTGCATGTATGTAATGTTCATTTTGATTGGAAAATTGTGATATTTTTATTTCCCATATTACACAGCTGAGTTACTTTATATTTTGATCTAAGATAGCACTTATAATGTGAATTTTTCGTAAGATTAGATAGCTGTATTTAAATGGTTGTTTATGGTATAAGCTTTGGATATGGTTATATAAGCTGACAGCCATTTATACCGTCTCATATAACCTGTCAGAAATTTAAATACACTGCCAACCAATTTTAACACACCCCCTTATAATGCTAATCTCAGTATAACACTCATAGGCCTTGGCTCCCATCAGACCCCGTTATGTGGTTTTGAGGCTTTATACCCCAACATGAGTATTATAACAGGTTCGCAGTGTTAAATCATGAAATGATATAGACCACTTTCTCATACGAAAGAGTTTAATATTATGCAAAATAAAGAATGGTAGATTTTATTATGCCACCCCAACCTCTCTAGTGTGCATATAGATTTGCCCTTATCTGTCATGCTTTCACACTATTCATCTGCAGACTATGTACCCCTCACCGCTGTGGGTTCGAATCCCTCACTTTCACGTGAGGAAGCTATCCAGCTAGTTTACGAAACATCGGTGGTTCTACTCAAGTGGCTGTTCATGCCTGAAATAATGCACGGAAGGGCACCTGAGGTCTTCCTTCACCAGCAAAGCTGGATCGTCACCATATGACCTATGCTGTGTTTGTGTGACGTAAAACCCAAATCAAACAAACAAGCAAACCACACTATGGACACATTTCTAGTTTCTAATTAAATACCGTGTTATTACAGGGTATCAGTAAACTTACCAGTGTTCAAGACATTTATCCTAGCATTTTATGTTTTGTACCAGTTGCAACACAAGAATTTTGTTACAATTCAGTATCAAATACATTGCTCACATTTTAGGTACGAAAAAACAAACAAACAAAAAACAGACAATAGAAAACTAACTATCAAATCTGCTAATAAAAACAATTGTGTTTTACCTAGAACATAACAGTGTAAAAACTTTTATTACATAAGCAGTTAACAGACTTGAGTATGTATATCATTAACTTAACAGAACATTTAAGTGTATATCTTTCATAGACTTGTTTTTAGCTCACCTGTCACAAAGTGACAGGATGAGCTTTTGTGATCGCTTTTCGTCCGGCGTCCGTCCGGCGTCCGTCCGTCCGTCGTCCGTCCGTAAACTTTTGCTTTAAATGACATCTCCTCATAAACCACTGAGCCAATTTCATCCAAACTTCACAGAAATGTTCCTTTGGTGGTCACCTTTAAAATTGTTCAAAGAATTTAATTCCATGCAGAACTCTGGTTGCCATGGCAACCGAAAGAACAATCTTTAAATATCTTCTTTTAAACAACCCTAAGAGCTAGAGCTTAGATATTTGGCATGAAACATCTTCTAATGAGTGTCTACCAAGTTTCAAATAAAAGCCCTGGGGTCAAAATTGGCCCCGCCCCAGGGGGTCATTGATTTTCCCTATATGCATATAGTAAAAACTTAAAAAATCTTCTTTTAAAGAACCAAAAGAGCTAGAGCTAAGATATTTGGCATGAAACATCTTCTAGTGAGTGTCTACCAAGTTTGTTCAAATAAAAGCCCTGGGGTCAAAATTGGCCCCGCCCCAGGGGGTCATTGATTTTCCCTATATGCATATAGTAAAAACTTAAAAAATCTTCTTTTAAAGAACCAAAAGAGCTAGAGCTAAGATATTTTGGCATGAACATCTTCTAGTGAGTGTCTACCAAGTTTGTTCAAATAAAAGCCCTGGGGTCAAAATTGGCCCCGCCCCAGGGGTCATTGATTTTCCCTATATGCATATAGTAAAAACTTAAAAAAATCTTCTATTAAAGAACCAAAAGAGCTAGAGCTAAGATATTTGGCATGAAAGATCTTTTAGTAAGTGTCTACCAAGTTTGTTCAAATAAAAGCCCTGGGGGTCAAAATTGGCCCTGCCCCGGGGGGTCATTGATTTTCCTATATGCATAAAGTAAAAACTTAAAAAAACTTCTTTTAAAGAACTGTAAGAGCTAGAGCTTAGATATTTGGCATGAAACATTTTCTAGTGAGTGTCTACCAAGTTTGTTCAAATAAAAGCCTTGGGGTCAAATTTGGCCCCGCCCCAGGGGGTCATTGATTTTCCCTATATGCATATAGTAAAAACTTAAAAAATCTTCTTTTAAAGAACCCAAAGAGCTAGAGCTAAGATATTTAGCATGAAACATCTTCTAATGAGTGTCTACCAAGTTTGTTCAAATAAAAGCCCTGAGGTCAAAATTGGCCCTGCCCCAGGGGGTCATAGATTTCCCAATATGCATAAAGTAAAAACTTAAAAAATCTTCTTTTAAAGAACCCAAAGAGCTAGAGCTAAGATATTTGGCATGAAACATCTTCTAGTGAGTGTCTACCAAGTTTGTTCAAATAAAAGCCCTGGGGTCAAAATTGGCCCCGCCCCGGGGGTCATTGATTTTCCTTATATGTGTATAGCAAAACTTAAAAATCTTCTTTGAAAAAACCCAAATAGCTAGAGTTTAGATTTTTAGCATGAAACATCTTTAAGTAAATATCTACAAAGTTTGTTCAAATAAAAGCCGGGGGGTCAAAACTGGCCCTGCCCCAGGGGTGTCATTGTTTTTAACTATATGTGTATAGTAAAAACTTAAAAAATAATCTTTTAAAAAACCCAATGAGCTAGAACTTAGATGTTTAGCATGAAACATCTTATTAAGGGTGTCTACCAAGTCTATTCAAATAAACAAATAAAAGCCCTTGGGTAAAAATTGGCCCGGGGGTGGGGGGGCTATATACAGGTGAGCGACCTCAGGGCCATCATGGCCCTCTTGTTATGTTGTTGAAAGACTTTCCCAATTGGAGGAGTTAGTATATTTTAGTATATTTCATCAAGGTCTCAGACTACTAAAAGTGTTTTAATGTTTTTAAGTTGAAATTACATTCCCAGATAGCTTATGCTAAGCATGTTCAATGGATTTGCACTTTGTTGTAGACAAGAATTATGTCTGGGAAAGAAAGAAATACGTATCTAATAAGTAAGATTAAAGGCATGGTAAGTAGTAGGTGTGCAGGCAAATAATTTTTTAAAAAGTTAGCATCAAACATGGTGAATGATTTTAGATCTTATTCTAAGCAGCCTTCTTTCATGGTATATTAACTTGTTATTTGGCCAGATTCAGGATGTTCCATTTTGACTCGATATTGACATATTCACTGTTTTGTACTAATTTCCAAAGTGTAAACTGCCCAACCCCTCTGAATTCAAAATTTATAGGTCATCTTTTTGTTGATAATTACATTTTAGGACATGAATGGTGACATGTCTGGGGTCTGCACTTTCAGTGCCTGAAAGGGCAGATTGACCCTCATTAAGCCTAGAATACATACATACATGCCCCACCCTCCTCTCTACCACTTTGATATCTGTTTTGAAAAGACAAATAATATAAGCAAGTATTTAGTTAATTTGATGTTCTGTTATTTCAGGGAAGAATTAAAGAGTAGATACAGTCTAGGAAGTAAAGAGATGCAGACTGCTGTACAAGAGGAAGTAAAGAGGAATGAGAGAGAATATCATCAACAAATGAAACAACAGCAAGAGAAGTAAGTTCATGTACATGTGTTTGTACAAACATACAAATGTACACATGTTTGTACAAACATACAAATGATGGGTTCATTTCTTTTATTTTTTTCGATTATTGAAGTTTTTGCTTTTTTAGTTACAAAAAAAGTTGATTTTCTTTGCAGCTGGATTTAGATTATTCATTGTTTTGATGTATCATTAAAGTTTTGTCACATTACTGAGGTGGTTACATTTTTATGTCGCGTCTTGGGAGAAACAGGGCTATATTGATTTGCACACCTAGTGTCTTTTGTTTCCTGACCACACTCACTGATGATGAGATAGAAAACCTTTGTATCTAACATATATGGGTTTTAAAGTTTTTCTGATAGGATATTTAATTTGTTTTGAAATACTTAAAGAAAAGTATCAAATATATAAAATTATTTGCTACAGAAATATTAAATAAATTTACTTACAAGGAAGATTGAGGAGTTGAGCGACGTAAAACAGTTTAGAGGATGAGTTTTGACAAGGATACAGATAGAATCTGCAGATTCCAGCAGGTATTGTTTCATATATTATGTTTACTTGAAGTTCTTTCATTTGAATAAAATAATGGTTTTTCCATTTAATACATGACACTGCGTTTTGAGATTTTTAAATTTTGTATGAAGATCTGCTAGTCTGCATTAAATGAAGCCTACTTTATAGGGGGTGGGGTGGGGATGGAGGCATACAGATTTGGCTTTTTTTCCATCACACTGTACATTAATAAGACTGACAAAACAGCAGAATGTAAGAGCTCGCCTTCCTATTGGGTAACATTCCAAGTTTTTTTTAAAAAAAGGCTGCCAACTTTTGTAAAGGGATAACATTCATATAATGGATTAAGAAATGGTTAAATTATTTAAGATGGCATATCTACCACTTTATGGAACCTCCATTGGCATAATATTATAACATTTACAGTGTTGAAAGGGGTTGACATTGCCATATAATGTTTACAGTGTTGGAAAGGGCCAACATTGCCATATTATCTTTACAGTTTTGAATGGGGCCAACATTGCCATATAACCTATACAGCATTGAATGGGGTCACCATTGCTATATGAGATTTATTGTGTTGGAAGGGGCCAACATTGCCATATAACATTTACAGTGTTTAAAGGGTCAAATATTGCCATTTAACATTTACAGTGTTTGAAGGGGCCAACATTGCCATATAACCTTTAACCAACATTGCTGTATAACATTTACAATGTTGGAAGGGACCAACATTGCAATATAGCAATTTCAGTGTTAATAGGGGCCAACATTGCCATATAACCTTTACAGTGTTAAGAGGGGCCTTCATTTAAGAATAACCTTTAAAGTGTTTGCTATACATAAAAGCTAACCAAAAAGAAAGAAAAAACCTGTGGCTCTTTAGAAAGAAATACAGTAAAATGTCTGCACATTGACTATTATTGCCAGGATATATGTTGTTAAATGAGCAACTTGTTTAGATTAGTTCCAGACTAGTCATGCCATAAAAGTCAGACATATTTGTTGTATAACTGGTTATTCTTGGGTCACTTGTCAAGTTAAATAATGCTTTAAGATTCATTAATTTGGTGATGAACTTCAGGTATTTCACAGCTTAAATGCCACAATGCCAGTTGCTTTAATTTGTCTATATCACTGCATACTATTAAATAAATGTGTTCTCCAGCTTTATTTCACTTAATGTAAAACACTAGAACTTGCAATACTCTCAGAACATTTTCTTTAAATTAATTGGTTTGCTGGTGAGTATAATATGGCAATGAAACCTCATACACTTGTTGTAACTGCATCTTATATATGAAAGTGTTGATTTTGTCAGAAATAATTATTATCAAATCTTTGGAAAACGTAATTGAATCAGAATTCTGAATAATGAAAATGTTTCAAGGACATAATGTTTGTTTTCTTGCACAGCTGAAGGTTGCCTTTGAGACAGTAAGTGAAGAGAATGCTTCCAACAAAGCAGCATTATTTTCTGCACAGAAAAAAGATGAAAAATCCAGTGAAATGATCTCAGAACTAACTTCTGTAAGTCTTATCTACTTTAATAGCTTGACTATTTAGAGAAAACTTCAAACCACTTGCCCCTCACCACTGTGGGTTCGAATCCCAACAGAGACTTTGGATTCTTTCATGTGAGGAAGCTATCTAGCTAGCTTACTGTATGTCGTTGGTTCTACTCAGGTACCCGTTCGTGCCTGAAATAATTCATGGAAGGGCACCTGAGGTCTTCCTCCACCAGTAAAGCAGGAACGTCACCATATAACCTATAATGTGTCGGTGGAACGTAAACCCCAATTAAACAAACAAACATTTAAAGAATAGGGAGAGCTATTGTACTCACCCAGGCACTGTTGTCACACTTTGGTCAAGTTTCTGCATGCAAGCTGCTTTTTCCAAAACTATTAAAGGGAATGGGTTGTAATTTTACACACTTAAAAAAGTGCATACTTAATAAAGAATAAAATTGGAGGTCACTGTCGTATGTCCATAACTCTAACATGGATTTTGATGGAATTATGGCATTTTTTTGAATTTAGAAAATTCAACATTATCCAGGCTCTTGTTTTACAATCAAGCACTGAGAATAGTCAAGCACACTGTCCAACCAGCAGCTCTTGTTTTAAATGGAATTATGTTGAATGATTTCTGCATGATAAAGAATGTTTATTCCTCAGGAGTTTGGTAGTATAAATTGTGTACATTGTACTTAACCTTAGAAATCACATGGGATTAGTAATAGATCTCTTGCAGAGAAAATGGTATTTTCTTATTAGTCATCTAGATGGACTGACTGATGGCATATAACCAAAAATGTGTTAAAATTAACAAACAATAACTATCACCTTTGTTTATGGACTAATATCTAAAATATTTGATGTGTTGCAGTAAATAAGATAAAAATTCACTTCCTAGTATTTCTAGCTTTCTTAGCCCTTATGATGCTAATAAGTGATAGGACTTTAGCTGCCTTTAAGAGCTAGGCCAGTCTGGACATCTGTGGATTTTAGCCTGTATACTACTTATACTTGAAGGAACTCCACTGAGATCCAAAGTCTTAAAAAAAATTGAATTTTGACTTGTAGAACAGTTGGGGAACTTAAAAAGAAAGAATTATGCAGAAGATTAATAAAAAAATATTCTAAAAAGTAAATAAAAAAAGCTATTTTTGTGCTATTCTTTAGGTGATTTGAGTGAGTAAAAAGCATTGCAACATTAAATTTTTTCAATTTTGTGTCATTTTTTCACAATTAGAATAATTATTCTGGAAAAACAGAGACAACGAATAATTGAAAATTTTGCACTCAAATTATTGGTGTGTAGACCATCATGAAATGAAATCTATGTCAAAAAATTACATTAAGTCCTGTCATGTAAAAAAAAAACCTCAGTGGAGTCGAGTCCCTTTAAATTTTGTATTTGATACTGATATCCCTTAAACTTTCAATGGACTGTGCCATATTCAGAGCAGGGCAAATCCATTACACAAAATCAGCATGATGGGGGTCAAAGTGACATTAGGATATTATTTCTATCAAATTCAATGTGCTGTCTGAAAAAACAATTAAGTACTTTAATAGATTATCCATAAATAAAAGTACTTTGGAGATAAATTTGTTTGTCCTAATCATGAATATTGCATGAATAAAATATTTAAAAGGTCACATTGTTTTTTGGAGTTTTAAGAAATATCAGATTGAAGTTTGGTGGGGGGGGGGGGGTACTTGCCAAAGTCTTGCAGGCAATTTTCTGTTTATACAGCTATTTTTCTTTTTAAGCTAAATGTAATTTTTTATCTACTGTGAACTCACTAGATTTAAAGGGATACCAATCAGGTTTATTGACATGATGTGACTGAAAATAATTTTTCTAGTCAAATTACGAATTTCAATTCATTTCGGAGTATTATTATCTCTTAATTATCTTTTGAATACCTTTCTGCTTTAAGTGTTGCACCTAATCTATGGGAAAAATCTAAATCTTATCTTTTTTAGGCTTTCGGACCTCAGTGGAGTTCCTTTAAGAATTAATAAACCAATTTGTTATCTTTTGATCCTAGATTTTGATAAAACATTCTGTTATTGTTCAGTTAGTTCTCATTTGTTTGGTGTGATATAAACAAATTGACTTGAAAGTGAGAATTTTATACAGTAATTTAAACAACTGTGAGTTCTAAAGGTTACAGGAATCAAAGTGAAATATTAAAGTTCAGGCATAATTATTTGATATGTAAGTCCTCAAAGGCTGGGTGGTTAAACTTACTGACTTGAGAATGACCTGCCTTTCATAATTGGGGGTATGAATCCTGAAAGGGACTGTGTCTTCTTTATGTGATGCAGCTGTCCAGTTTGCTTATAGAAGGTTTGTGGTTTTATTCAGGCACTCTCTTGTGCTTAAAATAAGTCCATAGAATAGCTCTTGAGGTTTTCCTGCATCAGAAAAAATTAGAAGTAGTCTTATGATGAAAACAGTGTCTGTGTAACTTTAAATCTGGCCAAAAAAAGGCAAAAATGTCAAAAAATTAAGATCTTTTAAAATGTAAAAAGAAACTTATTTGAAGAGAGAGCACCACTTTTAGAAACATTTGTACTTTCTGTATGCAGATCACATGGAAGCTGGATTTATACGTTCTTGAATGTTACATGTAATGATCTTAAGTTGAATGCCTCCTCATTAACACAGTATAGATAGAGAGATAGATAAAAAGGTTGGGGGAAATTTTGTCAGGAAAAAAAGTGTTTTCCTACTCTTTAATTTGATCTTTTGATCTGGTATTTCTAATGGAGCAGCTCTCACCATCTTATCAGTAATTGATCTAATTTCTTTTTTTGTCACTCTGCCCTGTCATATGTTATGAAAGTGGATTGTCCTGCTATAACCTTTGATAGATTGTTGATTGGAACTTGTTTATTCTAGGTCACACAGTGGTATGGTTTACATTTGTGCTGCGTCAAGACAAAACCAACATAATGAGTTTGCGACCAGCATGGATCCATGCTGTTCGCTAACAAACCCTATTACATGTAGAGGAACTGATAGCGAACAGCATGGATCCTGATCAGATTGCGCAGATGCACAGGCTGGTCTGGATCTATGCTGGTCGCAAACGCACAACATTGGTTTTGTCGTGACGCAGCTCATTTTGTTTATTAAAGATCCCACATACATAAAGTACATTGATGGTCAGTCATATGCATTACAATTCTGCATTTTACTCAATGAATAAAAAGGAGAAAAAAGCCAAATTATAATTTCCAGTGCTGAGAATTTTGTTAAAAGGCTCATTATTCCTCTGAAATACATGTAAATAGTTTTTTGTGTGTCCCTTTGAAAGAACACTCATGAGTTTTATAATGTTGTAAAAAATGGATATAGTGAGGTCCTGATCATCTGATGAAAATAGTGTTGAATGTGAAATATTTTGTGAGAATGTTAGTAAATTGTAAACAAAGTAGTATTTTGTCTTCCATCACTATTGCTGAACTAATTGCCAAAACAAAAAAGCAAAAAAAAAAGTTAAGGGATTTTAGTACCAAAACTACAAAACTTGAGAGCTTCTAACAGTAAAGAGCCTCCATTGTTAGATTGCTCAGTTAGCTGTATGCTGATGGCAATGGCTAATTACTTTCATTTCCAGTATGTATGTTATTAAATCATTAATTGAGTTTTGTATGTTATGATTTATTTATTCTGTTTCAGTGTGTCAAGGAACAGAAAGGGCGAATTTCAGAATTGTCCAAGGCTAAACAAGAGCAAGGGTCACAGTATCGGGTATTTGTTTTTTTTACTGATTCCAGCATTGTAATAGACAGTCAATTTTGAACTTGATTCTGTCATTTTGGTTTTATCATATTAAAAAAACAGTGTACTCCTATGTTTTAGGTGGCCCAATATACATTTGAAACAGGCATTTCGGCCTCCCGCGGCCTCTTAATGAAAACCCTGCTGAATGTTTTCTGTTAAGATATTTAAGTCCAATTTAATACATTTCAAAATTTGCATAAACCATTAATACTATCTTTGATCATTTCTAAAACTTCAATTAGAAATTAAATAATGAAACGATAACATGTCAGATTTCCAGTTAATGTTACAGCTTGTTAGTGTCTTTAGAAGGCCAATAATTGTGCCCCCACGTTAGTGGCGGGCATTTAGATTTACCCTTGTCCGTCCGTCCTTCCGTCCGTTCGTCCTTCCGTCCGTCCTTCCGTCCGTCCGTCCGTTCACTTTTGTGTCGCATGTAACTCAAAAAGTATTTAACCTAGAGTCATGAAACTTTACAGAAATGTTGATCAGCATGTGTAGTTGTGCACCTGGGTATTTTCGTCTGGATATTTTTAGTATTTTCAGAGTTATTGCCCTTGACTTTGTAAAATTTTGCAATTTTCAACTTGTGTCGCATGTAACTCAAAAGTATTTGACCTACACAGTCATGAAAACTTTAACAGGAATGTTGATCAGCAATGTGTAGTTGTGCACACTGGGTATTTTTGTCTGGATATTTTTAGCATTTTCAGAGTTTCTTGCCTTGACTTAAGAAAATTTTGCAATTTTCAACTTGTGTCACATGTAACTCAAAAAAGTATTTTGACCTACAGTCATGAAACTTTACAGGAATGTTTGATCAGCATGTGTTGTTGTGCACCTGGGTATTTTCGTCTGGATATTTTTTTAGTATTTTCAGAGTTATTGCCCTTGACTAAGTAAAATTTTGCAATTTTCAACTTGTGTCGCTAATAAACTCAAAAAGTATTTGACCTAGAGTCATGAAACTTTACAGGAATGTTGATCAGTATGTGTAGTTGTGCACCTGGGTATTTTTCGTCTGGATATTTTTAGTATTTTCAGAGTTATTGCCCCTTGACTTAGTAAAATTTGGCAATTTTCAACATGTGTCGCACGTAACTCAAAAAGTATTTGACCTAGAGTCATGTAACTTTAGCAGGAATATTGATCAGCATGTGCAGTTGTGCATCAGGTATTTTGGTCTGGATTTATTAGGTATTTTTAGAGTTATTGCCCTTCACTTTGAAAATTTTTGCAATTTTAACTTGTGTCGCAAGTTTCTCAAGAAGGATTTTGACATAGTATTAAACCTTATGGGCAAGGATTTCCAGCATATTTTTAGATTTGCACCCTGGGGTTTCGCTTGTGGATTTATCCAGTATTTGTAGAGTTATTTCCCTTGACTTAGTAAAAAGATTGAGAGAACAGTGGCGCGGTGGGGGCACCCGTGTCCTATGGACACATTTCTAGTTATTTATATAATTATGAATACAGCCCCAGGTGTTTTATCACAGTCTTAAAAGTATTAGTTTGATCCCTTTCTTGAAAAGTGCTAAAAGATTTGAAAGAAAAATGTTAAAAGTCCTTGATTTGGTTTTATTCTCGTTTAAAAGTGCTTAAAAAATGTGCACATCTGTGTGAAAAATATGCTTAGAAAAAGGATAACAGAAGTAAATGCATGGTTTTCAATCATAAGCCCATTTAAAAATCATTAGGAATCTTTACTAGCCATGTTGTAAAATTAAATCTTGACCAAACTATATTGCAAAATGAAAATTGATATACTGTAGTTTGTTTCATTAAAAGTGATAAAGCAGTAGTGTTTTCTTATTGTTCTTGCAACTGGTTTTAGTTACCTAATTATTGGTAAATAGTGATAAAATGTGTGACAAAAAAGTATTTGTGAAATTAGGAAAAAAAGCATGCTGAAAGTTCTTAAAATACGCTTGATTTTCGGCTAAATATGTTGGTTAAAAATGGATTTTAAATGTTGCCATGCCATTTTGGATATTGATCAGAATTCATATATTGTTTGTGGTTCGTACTTTTGTAGGCCTTCAGTACTTGCATTATATTGAATAGTATTTTTCTGATCATTGAAAAGCTACTTGGGCAAAGAGATTGAAATTTTCTGCACCATTGACGCTGACCTATCATTCAGACTTGAAACTTATTTGATAAGTTTTTTTGTCATTATTCTAACAGAAAATTTTCATCTATAGAAAAAATTGGATGTAGGTTGGCTAGTCCTCAAGTGCACCCAAGGCTTGTCAGTTGAAATAAGCAGAATAAGTCTGTTGATTGTAACATTTTTTTTCTCCAGTTTTTTCCTCCCTTTTAGTGTATACACAGATTTCCCTTATATATTGTAATAAGATTATAGCTAATTCCCAAAGACAGTTATTGCTATATTGGGATCCATTTTAAAGAGAGAGCTATGTTTTTTGTAGCTTTCAATTTCACTGAGTTATGTTAATCTATAATTGTTTCCAAATTGGTGCACAAAGTCTTAATGATTTTGTAACTGGTAATTATTTGCGAGTTGAAATAGAATCCTTATTTAGTGCTAAATATTTTGTGTGTGTGTGTGTGAAAACAGCAGTAAAATCTAGTTGTTTCTTTTTCATTCTTATAGATACATGTAAGACCTCGGTGTAAGACATGGTGAAAAAATTTGTTTTTCATGTTTTACTTTTCATACAGGAGAGAGTAAACGTTTTAGAAGCTCACGTTGAAGAAGCTAGGAAACGCATGATTCAATTTGAACTTTCAGCAGGTTTGTAGATTGTTTATATGTAAGTAAGGTAATACATTCCGAAACATGAGTAAACATAGCCTCTGCAGGTAGGGCTGGATAATATGATTGCGGCAGATTGAGAGGCAGATTCCTTGCCCACTATGCTACTTTTCCCTTACATTTATCCATTTTGATTAAACAAAGATGAAACGTATTTTTATGTAGATATATATATTTGTTGAATTTGCACACAATTTCAAATGTTCTGGGGGAAAAAAAAAGAAGAGATTGAAATGAAATATTCTGCCCACTTTGGAATATTTAATTACTTTGTTTTCCATTCTTAACATGACAGAGGATTATATCAAGACCAGTGAAAACATAATAGGTTTAAGAACATTCTGTCAAAGATTTTTGTGTTTTAAAATTTTATGTTATTTAATACTTGCTGTTGTTTGAATATGTGCAATTTGCATTATTTAATAAGAATGAATATCAATAAGTCAATGAAACCCCTGAGAGTATTTGATTTTTTATGCAACCTTAATAAAAGGACATCAAGGTTGCTACTGATTTTATAGTTTTTATAAGTCCATTAGACAAAAAGTGAATCTTGTAAAGTTAAATTAAGTGATTGCATAAAGATTATAAATATATTTAATTAAAATACAAATTGAAGGTTTAACTTAGTTAGAAAGGCAGTTGTTTTATTTTTATAATTCCCGCTTGTACAGACAGTCGGTTTTTTTTTTATTTTTGCATAAATTTCTTCATTTTTAA